ATAGCTTTTTCTAAGATATATTTAGGCTTTTAGGCTTTCTTTGCGAAGAGTTAGTGATCAAAGTGAACTCTCACCCGCCGTCTACACAATTTAGGGGGACGTAATCTAACAGCAAGCTATCCCCCTAGCGAGATATGCAGATACACTGCAATCATAATATATCAAAATTTTGAAGTAGCCTATTTGTTACTGACACAATACAATGTATTTATTTAGACTTGCATTGCTATTTGAAGTCAGAGAAACTAGGCGGTCCTAAGTTATATACACCACCTGTTCCTCCAATATTGGGGATAGCTACGTCTACACCCCAGACGTTCCTAGTGTTCTGCCTACTTTCGAAGCGCCACTGGACACTCCCAGCCCGAAAATACTTTTCCAAGATGTACCTCGCCCTTAAGCAACAACACCACAGTCGACAATCTCAACACTCTTGATGGGCTTGTCACGTGCACCTGTAGGGTTGTTCTCTACATCAGTTACGTGTTCCATACCCTTGGTCACCTTGCCGAATACAACGTGGCGGCCGTCCAACCATGAAGTCTTGATGGTGGTGATGAAAAACTGGGACCCTGAAGTGAATAATAAGTGCACACAGATATTTCAGAATAATATACCAGACAGTATATACAATTCTCGACTGGTTCTCTGTAAACTGTATATATTAATACTGCATGTTAATCACAAATCGGGTTGGCGTAATGGTTTCCACTATTGCAATCTATATAATATAAAGTAGACCTTTTTAAGAAAATGATTACGGATTGCCACCAATTTTGACTGCTGCCTCTTTCAGCAATCTAAAATATACAGACTAAAAGGCTATCAAAGGAGGGTGAAATTTATCTTACCGTTCGTGTTCTTTCCTGAGTTGGCCATAGAAAGGTATCCAGGTCCTTCGTGCTTTAAGGTGAAGTTCTCATCCTCAAACTTATCTCCGTAAATGGACTTGCCGCCGGTTCCATCGCCGCGAGTAAAGTCACCTGCAAAGATGCGAAACGCAATCAGAAACGGCCATATTCTCACTAAACATTACATACGTACTCCATAAAAATCATACCCACACGGTAATACAACGGGTCGAGGTACGTGAATTAGACTTTCATAACCATACGTTGGCGACAGGAACAGAACACACTCAGTCGAGTAGACCAAGCACATACCGCCCTGAAGCATGAACTGCTTAATGACACGATGGAACTTGGATCCCTTGTAGCCTTCTCCCTTCTCTTTCTTTGCTAGCTCAACGAAGTTCTTCACTGTCTTGGGAACAACATCACCGAACAATCCCATCTCAATGCGACGCACATCAAGCTCGCCTTCTATCTGGACGTCAAAGAACACTGTGTCTGTGACCTTGGGATCTTCTGCAGCAACGAAAGCTGCTAGCATAGCCACTACGGCCAGTACGAAGGTGATAAACTTCATTTTCTGTTTGTGTAAGTGATTATGAGTGCTGTAACTATGACTACTCGCGCACCATGAAGGTAGTTTTTATTTATGCGCATCTTGTTCTGCATTCCTCTGTTTGTTTGTTTGTTTGTTGACGAAAATTGCACTTACATATATATGTATAAAAAAACAATTGTACATATTCTCGGTGGACCGAGTTTTGACGATTATCGTTCTAGATCCAGTAGCCTCCATACATACATATAGCACAGATGAAAATAAAGCGGTGAACTGAAACCGTACCAGAATCAATAAACGTACTGGAAAGTCGCGGTTCATGAATGCCGGAAATCTGAATTCTATTTGTACAAATGAAATTCGAAAATAAATGCCACCGCCTCAGAATTAATGTATGTGTTCTAAATATCGACATGGATTGGCTAAGATTTAGTACATTTAAATCTGAATGCCCACATCACCACATGATTGGGATGCGAAATTTCCTCCAAATGTGTTTTGTTTTCAGGTCTCCTCGTTACGCTATTGCTGTACAGAATAAACGTTATACGTTAAATTCATTCCTATACGTTAAAAAGGTATACGCAAATAACCCGGCTTAATCAGACACAGTATAGGCCTGTGAGACCCTATACATGTGTCGACCAGCAGACGAAAACGTTAAAGGAACGCTAACGCATCAGACTATGCGTTTTAACTTTCAAATATAACGGTACATATGCGACCTCTCACGGTCTCACCTGAGTCACCTCACTCTCATCAACCTCTCCGTAGCTAGCCTCTTCTAAATAAAACAGATAAATACCATCTATTGGTTTTTGTTTGTTTGTTTGTTTTTGTAACCTTAAAACCCTAACCTTAAAATAATAATAAAAATTCTGGCCCTATAGACCACTGAAAAATCCCTATTTTTAGAACTATTTTTCAAAATCGTTTCCAAGCCTCTATTATCTATTTTTTTTTAAACTGTTTTGTTTCACAACGCATGCATTTATATATGAACGCACACGTATAGGCACTGTAGACCGCCTTCTATGCCACTTAGTTTGTTGTGCAGAGTATTGTAGTGATGAGATTAGTGTGGAGAATCCAGGGCGTCGTGTCCCGCACAGGTCAAGAGAACGTTTTATAACATTTATGACTCGCCTTGGGCGATTCAACAAACGTGCCCACAGGACAACATAGATTATGAGTTCAAAACGAATATATTTTTGTGCGATAAACATATCAGGGAAGAATACTTCAAACAGAATACAACTAACAAAACATTACTGTCTAATGATGTTCCTATGACTAGAGAACAGTACGATGCACGCAAAATTGGCTTACATCCCGAGGATGATGACCAGCAAAAATTATATAACACGGCCACACGTATGTATAGCGATCTAATTGGATCTGTAGACGCACCATCAAAACGTGCAGGGCTTTGTAAAAGACCCACTGAGTCTCATATAGTGTCGACCATGACTCTATCAACAAGGGAAAAAGATCAGGAACTGAGGGCATTATCATCGTCAGTTGTCAAATCAATCGATCCAAGAGTCAACGGTAAAATCATTGAAAGATGAATTGGAAGTAAAAGATTTTGAAATAGCGAAGCTAGTTGAAGAGGCGATGAACTTACACACCAGCAGACAGAGACTGGTCGACGACTCTGTAGAAACTTTTCACATACCGACGTTATAACACAAATACATTGTCATGAATCTGTAGATAACCTCAGGTTTTGGACGAGCTTTCAGTCGATAGAAAAATACACGAGATTTGTGCCGTACAAAATCATTTGAGGATGAAATCTTGATGTGGTTTGTGAGTGTATGACACAACGAGGAGATTGGAGTAGTGAGACATTTTTTTAGTGTAGCATACACGTATACAGTTGGTAATATACTCAGGAATACCAATATTGCTTTACTGTCCTTCTTCAGGCACCCATCCTGTAATTTGATGAATCTGCTAGATCCCGGTATAGTCAATGAATTGCGGTTACCGTGCTATCAAGAAGAACATGATACGCTTGCTATTGTTTTTGATGCTACAGAATACTTTATTAAAACGGGTAGCGACAAAAATTTACAAGCAGCATCGTACAGCAATTACAAACATCACAACACTGCAAAACAACTAGTTGCAATGTCTGCTGCTGGACATTGCAAATACGGATCGCCGCTGTATCCAAGACATATAAGTGACCGAGCTTCGTCACAGCTCTGCAAAAAAGGACCTTTTTGACAAATTATTGCCTGGTTGTTCTGTGATGGGGGACCGAGGTTATGACGTTGGAAATCTGTTGCCAGAAGGCTGTCATCAGTAGGTCAACTTACAGAAGTACGATTATCAATATGAAGACTATTGCTGGTGTCCGTATTCACATAAAAAGAGTCAATAGAAGAGCAAAAATGTTTTTAATGCTCGCTCAAGAAGTGCGCCTTGTATATCTGTACTTCTTTTGTCCAGCGGCTGAGACTTTATTTTATCTTATCGACTTTATCTCACCCATTGTAAAAAAACTATATAAGTAATATTGTATTATTTCTAAGAACTGTATAGATAAAAATAAAAATCAATATGACAGCTGTAATGCATTATTTTATGAACTATATAAATATTTAATACTAAAAGTCAATGTGACAGAAATACTTTATTTTTGTCTATTCATTTTTGATTAACTTAATTATGCAGCAACATCGTCGATTAAATTGAAGTATTTCAGTTGAAGAGTTTTAAGTTCTTCTTCTGTGCCAGAGAAGACAAAGGGTTCGTGTCTGTGGATATAATTGAGCTTGTCAAACCTTGTACGTTGTGATTCGTGAGGTCCAAGACTTGCACGTAGCTTCTTGGTAGGTGGTGGTATTGTGTCTTTTCCATGCGTTGTTTTGTTAGATAGTTATACAAATGTATCTCAACATTCCTTGTGATAATACCAGCTGGCACATCACATCTTTGTGGCTGTGATATAGACAGAGGTTTAAATATTACTGTAAAAGTATAATCAGGCACATACATGTATAATTATGTTGTTGTTGCTTAAGCATGCAAAATTAACAAGATGGGCCTACCTGGTAAGTACAAAGTCCATCGTCCATCTCTATACACATTTGCATGTGAGGGTTCTCTCGTCCCCAGCCGGCCTGCATACTAACTACCCATACCAATGCAGTACAATATACGCATTTACCGCCAACGCCCGTTGGACACTTGCAATAGCATTTGTTGACATCATATTCGTTATTCTCGTTGTGTACGCAAAGAGCATATGCTTCACAGGCATCTGAATTCATCGATCCGTGGATGTTGCGCCCTTCTTTGAGTATTTCGAGGTGGGTGTGGGTCGAATAGACGTTGGGCTGAGCTAAAAGTTCGTCGATCTGGATCTGTTGCTGTTGATTTTGAATCACTAGAAGTGCACCAGTGTAGAAA